CCAGAATTTCAGACAGATTTCGGAGACCACCCTCCTAACCACCAGGTGTGCCAACTCCTCCCTCATGGGTCATCCTTTCCCTCTGCACTGTGTCCTTGCAGGCACTGCAGCCTTGATACTGGGCCTTGTCCACTTGAAACTGCAGACCGGCCTCTCCCAGTTCTTTGTACCCTAGCAGTGCCCTTCTCGGAGCAGGAGGCAGGGGCTGCTAAGTGAAAGATGCCCACAGGGCAGTTCTGTTCCAGGGACAGCACTGTCTCTGCAAGTCACACTACGGCCTGGACAACAAGTTTGGAAGACTGAATTACTCCAAGTAGAAAATGAGAGAATATCCTTATAGGAAAATTGGATTTTCTTGTCTGCCCTTCTCCCTCCCTTTCAGTGTCTATTTTCCTGGAAAGGGTGCTCAGAAAGAGATTTGCCTCCTCAGTAAGAGTTCTGAAAACTGTTCCTTAGTAATAAAAGCTAATTTTATATGTAGGAGTTTGATATAGGAGATCTAAAGATTGTTAGTGAAAGAGATCAGGGAAGAGCTAGCCAAGGATACTGGTTTGGTTTTTCTTTTTATATCAAAATGTTTTCTGTCGACAGGATTCTATCTTGGACATTAAAGTACCAATATTTAAAGGACCTGGAGAGATGCCCGAAATCCGATCCTACATGGAAGAGTTCCCATTCCCATTCTATATCATTCTTCGCGATGTGAATGCGCTCCCCGAGACGCTCAGCGATGCTCTGAGACAGTGGTTTGAGTTGGTGGCAGCCTCCGACCACGCGTAGGGAAGGAACACAGTAAACCATGGTCAGACCGTGGCACCTCGGGCCAGGTGCTCCCTGTTTTGGACAAGTGCTTCTGCAGTCCCAGCTCTAAAATGTTTTTATCTTAGATCTGATTTATAAAAATTCACCTAATAGCTACAGAAAGTTTGTATTACAGTGTACATTTTAGTTTACAATGTGCTTTCAGAGCTAGAGAAAGCCTGGGGCTCCCTGCTTTGCCTGGGCTCCAGCTGTCACAAACCTAGGGCAGCAAAGGAACAGCAGTAGCAGGTGTCTGGCCTTGGAAGGCCCGGCCTACGAGGAGGCCTGGGCCCGGCTGCCTTTTCCCTTCGCAGGAGCCCTGGACACCTACCTGGAGAAGTGGCTAGGAGAGAATAAGACTGTCCCAGGCCTTTGGACAAAGGACTAAAGGCAGCTGCCCTTTTGACCCTGCTTTAAGTCTCCACCTTGCCAAGCCCACAGTGTGTATCCATATGCTGTCAAGAGACTGAATAGCCGCTTTCGAGAGTCCCCAAGTGTGTGTGTTTTTTCATTGCGCTTCAGGTGATGGTAACTGCCTTCTCTTTGAGGATAGGAAGGTTGGGGTATATGTGGTCTTAACAAAGCAACCAGATGTCATGGGAGCCCAGGTAATAGGAAAAATGACCCCTGGATGGAATAAAAATGAAGTGGTTTTTCTGTGTCGTCCTTCACATTTGCTGCTTCAGGAGACTATGCAATGATGGAAAGCTGATTTTTTCCTTTGGTTATTTCATTCTTTCTGTGCCACAGTCCCTGCTGTTTTTTTTTTTTTTTCCTTAACAATTAAGGGGAAGAATCATTCCTCCACTGCTTTTAAGCTGGACTGAGCCAGTCCCATTTTGGAAAAGAAATGCTGTGTTTAGAAAAACTAAGCAGCTACATTTTTTTTTCCCCCAGTCAAAATACATCAATGGTTTTTAGATGGTTTTTACTTGGTCAGAAAGCACTGCTTGAATACTTGAAATTGTGTGCTGTGTTCTATTTGTCAGAATGTTCTTTTGTAGACAACATGCCATGATGTAATTGTCTATCTCCACATCTGTTTTCAAGTTACACTGTGAAGTTTGCCACACTTTTGAGGTGGTCATCAAAGACACAGATTGCTTGTTCTTTAACCAAGTGTCCTAAAGCATGTACCTAAGGTTATATCATTTTTTATTCTAAAAAGCTATGCAGGTTATATTCTGATTATTAAACGTATACCACTGTTGATAGAATTTGTGAGCATTCTTAATGGAACATGACAGGTGTATAAAAGGTATGCCAGGGGAACGATCTTGTCTGCTCCATCAGTCGGCTATCCCTGGCTTATGCCGTGTTGCCAGGGCCTACACAAGTTCAGTGGCTTACTGCCATAAGGGTTTCTCATTTGTGTCTTACGTCCACAGTGGGTGAGCTGCCGCATGCTGGCCTGGTGGCAGAGGAAAGAGTAAGTGGGTGAAAAACACAATGACTCGTAAAGATTTTGCTCCAGATGACATGTTTGTTCCACTCATTTCATTGGTCGTAGCCCTCTGATGGGTTGGGTAGGGAAAGACACCACCATTCTGACCAAGATGTGATCTATCATCTACCTTTGAAATTGTACCATGTAAGCTGGAGCTTCCCAGCTGGTACCCAAAAATCCCCTTTTCAGCTTGTGCTGTGATGGGAAAAGGGTTGGGAAGCATGGAAGCAGTCCCAGGAGACCTAGGAGGAACTGTGCTAGGGGTGGGGTAAGAAGCAGGACACACCTGAGTCACGAAGGGAGTCACTAAGGGTAGGCTTGCTCTCCTTTGGAGCTCAAACTCTAGAGCTGCCTTACTTTGTCTTCATCCAAACACCAATCTTGTCCGGTCTTTCAGACATTTATTTTATCCTGTCTTCCGCTCTGCTTGTGCTGCAGCTGGAGCGTTTTTAATCTGTAGTCTGGACTGCTTTGGTGGTATCCTAGACAAGTCACTTTAGAGCTCCCTCTTGTGAAGAGATCCCTCTGGTGAAGAAGGTTATTACTCTCCTGTGTCTTCTCCCAGAATGCCCATACCACTAGCTGATCTGGTCACAGCAAACCAGAGGTCCTAGAATCTACCAGTGTTCTGTATATTCTTTGGAATTTTCTTACCTAATGTGCCCTTCTGGAAACACCTACCTAGTAGATGAGCCCTCAGATATGTCTCCCTGTCTTAGGTCTTCCTGCCCAAAGTGGGAGCCTGACTCATGACAGTGTTACTGTGTCTAACATGAGTGAGTGTTTCTGGATGGGAAGAACTAGTATAAAAATCTATAAATTAATGTGAAAAGACAACACTATCAATTTTAATAAAGATCTTATGATTTGGAGGGAAAGGATACAAAAAGATTCTCAAACTACAGGGTGTTAGTCCTGCCAAACAATAAAATGTACTAGTCTTACATGAAATAATCCCGAACAATTTGTTCAGACACTAAAAAAATTTACCATATGGGCATCAAAGCCCAAGAAGGATTTAATGGTGTCAAAATTATAGTTTAGCAATTGGAAAAAAGAGAGCCATCCACATCAAGCCATAAAGCAAACTAGGTGGAATAAATACTTTAAAAAGTTAACAATGAAGACATAATGTAGAATTGCAAAGCTCTAAAGGGGAGAAAATGAAATTGAAAAGCCTCAAAAGAAAAATACATGACTATATAGAGACTTCTTAAAGTTATATAAACAAATTTTTTAAAGAACAGGCAAACAAGCCATATAAATTTAGTATAAAAACCTTGTTGATCACCATAAATGGACCAGTGATGACAATTCATAAAATAAGTGGCAAGGGATATTTCACTAATTTTTATAAGAAGAAAATGAACTGCTATTGCCAATTAGACAAAACTTCAAAAAGTAGTCATAGTTCGCATCACCCATACAATGCCTGGTAGTGTTCAAGAAAGCTAGGCATTGGAGCATATGTGGCAGGTCCTGTTTTCAGTGCATCACATACAATGCAACTCTGAGGTAGATCCTGTTTCACTTTACAGATGAGGAAGGAGGCCAGGAGAGATGAAGTTGCCAAAAGAACACAGTTAGGAAAAGGGAGCACCAAAGGATTCCAGCAAGTGAGGCAATCAGGTAAATGCTCAGTAAATGGGTAACCAAATGAACATTTTTGACTGTATTTTAATTCAGAACCATTCTATTTGACGAAATATAGTAAAGATTCAGCAACCCTACTTGCATAACTTTAGGACATGTGTGTGTTGGGAAGATAAAACAATAGGAAATAAAAGCTTAAGTTGTAGGGACATTCAGTTCCTCATTCTTAGTGATACAAAATTGTTATAACTCCAATGGAGCAGCCATTTAAAACGTCATAAGAATATGTGAAAATTAATAAAGGGAGACTTCACTGAAGTAGAGTCGGGAGGCTAGAAAGGAAAGCTGGGCCACTCAATGTCACTCCCAGGAAGAGTGGTCAATAACAGACTCCCAACAGAAGCACCAATTATAGACCCCAACAGAAGGCCAGCAGGAAAGAATCATCAATTACAGGACCCAAGGGGGTAAAAGATGGGAGAGGCGCAATGTGCAAGAAATCAACTACCCTTGCAACTCCGTGAAAAATCTTGCTTTTTCCCCAGTGGACTTTTCATAACGACCCCTCTCAACTTCCATCTCTGTAAAATAAGTTCCTGTCCTTTATTGGACTTGCCGGCAGTTTTGCCATAGCTTGCAGGTCCCCAAATGCAATTCTCTATTCCCAAATAGACCCACTTATGCTGGTAAAATAACCTTACATTTAAGATGAACGTAACTAATGGCAACCATGGAAGATGCCACCATGGGGAAAATGGTTGCAAACAGAAAAGACCAGGATGAAAACAAAAGACGAACAGGACACAAACATTAAAATTAAAGTTAACATTTAAATTTTTATTTCTAACTACACATTTAAAAAGCCAACAGGAATACACAAATAATTTCACCCCTCACAAAGCTAACCACAGTGCCAGGAACTGTGCCAGTTGCCTTACCACTCCTCCTATCACAGCTATTTGTGACGCAAGAACTGCTATCCCCTCGCACCCCTAAGAAAATATATTCTAGGATAAAATTGCCCAAGGCTTTATAGCTCATTACTGGTTCCAACTAGACTGCGGGGGATTCGGCGGCCAAGTGTAAGCCGCGAACCATCTCCCAGGAAACCGAGCTCGCCCTGCCCCCTGGTTACGCCCCCACTTCCGCTCCTGCGCACTGGAGCTCTTGGGGGGACCGAGGCTACCTGAAGGAAATGGCGACTTCCCGCTTACCACCGGCGACGCTAACGCTAAAGCAGGTAGTGCCGTTTTCGCCAGCCTTTCCAGGATCTGATCTCAATTATCCATCACTCCCTCCACCCCGCCCTGCGGAGTGCGTCGCGGGGGCGGGACTTCCTGATGCGGAAGCCGGCGGTGGGGTTGGGGAGGAGGGGCCGGGGAGGAGGGGGCTGCCCTCTGGCCCTGGGCTCGTGAGGCGGGCGGGCTCTGGGTCTCTTTGGAACTTAAATGCCTTGGCCACGGTGAAGACTGTTATGTCTGTCGTACTGAGCTATGGTAAAGAGTGAGATTGCCAAAGAATTTTAACTGCATTGGTTTAAAAAAAAAAAGTACTGTAGTTACAGCCTATAGTAACTGGTAGTTCTTTTTCTGCTCATTGGTCATCTCTTAATGTTACGGGGTTCTTAAGGTTTGACAAAGGAGTAAGCAGACAGCCCAAATACACTTTTTGCCTTTTTCTTAAAAGAGAAGTTCTTTGTCCTTTTCAAAATTGAGGACCAAAGAGAAGTCATCTATTTAGTAGATTCCTAAAGTAAAGCCCTCTGGGCTGTAGATTTTGCAGTTGTAATTGACATTTCTCCTCCCCTCTACAGTTCATGAGAAGGCAACAAGTTCTCCTTCTCTACAGAAGGATTTTGCAAGCAATTCGGGAAGTTCCAAATGATTCTGATCGAAAATACCTGAAGGACTGGGCAAGGGAAGAATTCAGAAGAAACAAAAGTGCCACCCAAGAGGTGAGAAGAAGATCATGGTGAGGACAGGCCCTGACCATTTTGTTGTTTTTTTTTTTAAGTTTAACAGACATTTTGGAATATAAGGATCATGGAGATGTACATACATCTGGATCATTCCTTTAATGTTACCAATTTTCCACTCAAATGATAATTGAAATTTTATAATCTTTACAGTAGCATCACCTGACTTTTCTGTTAAACCATATATACACACACATGAAAAGATTATAAATAGGACAGCATGATGGTTTGGGAAGTATGACGACTGGGGTTTACAAAACATGTCAGACACTGTGCACCCTCAGTTGTCAGTTTGGGGCTTTCCTAATACACGGTGGTTCCAATTCTCAGTGTTGGTCCCTGAATAATAAATGAAATGATAGAGCTGTACCTTGTTTAACCAAGTAAAACAGTGACCAACTTTCACTTTCTTCTACAGGATACAATCCGGATGATGATTACTCAAGGCAATATGCAGCTCAAAGAGTTAGAAAAAACCCTTGCTTTGGCAAAATCTTAACTATAGCATTATTCTGAAAGACTTTCAAAGTTTCCATGTGTATTATTGAGCTAATTAGACTCAATGATGGGCAGCCTAAAAGCAAGTCAAACTGTACAGTACTTGGGAAAATGTCAGAACATGGAGCATGGCATGTCAAAGCAAACGAAAGCACATCAGAACAATTGCCTTAACACTGAAAAACACACCCTGCATTTTGAAAATGTTTTTGGATGTGTCAGTTCAAGCAGCAAAAACCAGTACAAGTGGCCAGCACTTAAGATGCTCAACACCATTAACCCTCTGGGAAATGCAAATTAAAACCACACTGAAACAGTACCATATCCACTGGAATAACTATAATTAAAAACAGTTAAGCAAATGTTGGTAAAGATGTAGAGAAACTGAACCCCTCATACATGCTGTGGGAATATCAAATGGCACAGCCACTTGGAAAACAGACTGTCAGTTGCTTAAAAGATTCAGTTACCAAACAGTTCAGCAGTTTCCTCCTAGGTTTGTAACCAAGAGAACTGAAAATCTTTCTATAAGAAAACTTGTACAGGAATATTCATAGCAGCATTATTCATAATAGCCAAGAAGTAGAAGCAATCCAAATACCCATCTGATAAATGATTAAATAAGATGTGTGTGGAATATTATCTAGCAATAAAAAGGAATGAAGTACTGATACATGGATGTACCAGAGACCAGTCACAAAAGATCACATATTATAGGATTTCATTTATATGAAGTATCTAAAATAGGAAGAAAGAGGTGGGTTTCCCAGGGTGTGGATAGCATGGAAAGTAATTGCAAATGGACATGGGATTTCTTTTCTGGGTAATGAAAACATTCTAAAAGTTGGGGGTGTCGGTTGCACAACTCTGAATATACTAAAGTCCGTTGAATCATATATTTTGCATGTGTGATACTTGAATTATACTTCAGTAAAGGTTTTACTGATTTTTTTGCTGATAAAGAATTGACATATAATACTGCGTAAATCACTATTTTAAGAAATCGTATGAGATATATGGATGTATACTGACCTCAGAAGATACCCTGGACCTTTCTTGAAAAAAAATCCTTCTGCATTCCTGATGGTTGTTGAGGTAGTTTCTTCAGATGTGTCATGATCCAGTAGTCCAAGGATTCTCTGAAAAGACCACCACCGGTAATACAGATCTTTGTTGGAAAGAGGAGAGACAGAAGCTTAATGAACACATTGAGGAACTTACCAAAAAGAAGAGGCAACGTCTGGATGAAACTAATGCAATTACCTTAGCATCCACATAGAAAGAAGTGAAACCATCAGGGAAGATCCTTGGTGCATTAGGTTCTCTTCCAGTGACAGGAGGAAAGAGTTTGAAGAATACATTGAAGATGAGAAGTTGACTTGACACTCCAACCAAATGTGTAACAATTACTTTAGTGAAAGTGAAAGCTTATGGAAGAGGTGGGATCGGCGGTCCTATAGACAGATGTCCTCTGTTCTTTTACAGAACAGACCTAAAAGTTAATCCAAGAATCTGCTCAGCACCTGAAAAATGTAGGAGAAACTTTGCAGAATGATAAATGGTTACCTAGTACTGGACTGCCTGCCAGAGGAGAGGGAGAAGCAGATGGTGGCGTTTGTCCATGACCTGCCTGCATTGCCAGGGTCCACCCGCCCCTCCCACAGCGTCAGCCCACAAGACAAAATAATTCTGAATATTCTTCAGCCGGGTAATCTAATTCAAAATGCTTGAGCTAATTATCAGATTTGTACATAGCTGTACATCAGTTAACCTATTGCAAAGCCATTTGATGAACAGAAGCATTTGTGAACAGTCTCTGAGCAGAGAATACTTTTCTTTGTGCAGCATGATCTACCTATTCAAGTATAGGCAATTCCTAGTAAATCTAAAATCTTGACACTACAGATCATCCTTTCATGAGGTGTAGAAGTCCATGACTTGGTGACATTCTTTCTAGTGGTGGTATATGTCAAAGATCTAAGAGCATTTGTGGTTTAAGTTTGTAAGATACAAATACTAGACTGAGAAAACCTAACTTGGGATTTGTTTTGTTTTTTAAATTGGGCAAAACACTGCAAATTGAATGTTCATCTTCCAGATGCTAAGATTAGTATAATCTTAATAATGGACAGCATTTGAGTGCTAAATAAATCTTAGGCTAAACAACAATTTCTCCTCCCATATGGAACCATGCTCATTAAGATGTTGGCCAGGTTCAAACTCCTGGTGAAACACATTTTATTTAGCATCTTTATCAGTGTTCTGGCTTAGACAAGAAATTACCTTTCTGGATATTCCCTGTGAGCTATATTCGTGTGGGGGCACCTGGGTGGCTGAGTCAGTTAAGCGTCCGACTCTCAATTTTGGCTCAGGTCATCATCTCAGGGTTGTGAGATCGAGCCCTGCTTCGGGCTCTGTGCTGGGCATGGAGCCTGCTTAAGATTCTCCCTCTCCCTCATCCCCTACCCACCTTCTAAAACAAAACAAAACAAAAAAACCTGTAACTATACTCTTGTTTGAATCTTAGTTTTGTTCCCCAAGTTTAATTTTAAAGTACTCGGATGTTCAGTTTATGTATTTGAACTACAATAAGTCAAATCTTTATATTAAAACTTTTTAAATACCAAAGCTTTCTAGCATGAGGATAAGTGGGTAGGGCTGCTATTTAGCATACTGACTATCCCTACATCATTATCTTTTTTGAAGTGTGCCATCTGGTTGGAAGTTTCTGAACTCAGCACAGGCATTGCTGTGGGTGGGCCTGCAGAGGATGTTATAATATTTGGGGAAAAGCAGCACATGTTCTTTGGTGTCTATATTACTGGAGTCACACAACTAGACACTCAAGAGAGGCTGAGACCCCCGCTTAACCTAAATTGTCTCTTACGGAAGAAAAATGCTAGTCAAACAACAGAAGGAAACAGCTCACATCTACCGTGGGAAAAAACTGGGATTATGTAGAGTAAGGTCCAAGCAGAATCAAAAGCAAATTGTCACTTTGTGCCAAACTAGAAATCGCCACAGCCTATTTCCTTCCTTGAGTCAGGCATCTGAGAAATTCTATCAGGATTAAATTTGCTATTTTTGTTTACTAGGAAGAGGAAATTGCTTTTTACTCACTCTGGTTTGCATTAGGAAAATTTCTGTGCTGTTTCCTGGTTATGTGTCTCATGGATTTAATATATTCATATTTATCATATTTTGACAATATTACAAATATTTCCTTTAAAATCACAACAGAAGACAACTAAAATTTTTTTTCTTATAAGTATTCTAAAAGGTCGCTGGTTTTGTCTTCTAAATCTTAAATCGATTTGGCTTTTATATCACAGGAAGAAATGTATTTAGCTTTTACGAATAATTTGTTAGAAAATGTTATTTTGCCTGCATACAGTTATAAGTGAGGTTTTGTTCTCTCAGTTCAGTATTTTCTAAAAGGTCGACAGTCTAAACAAAACATTAAAGCTTGTACTGAGAAAAGAAAAAAGCTTGTACTGAGAAATATTTCCATATTATGGGCTTTTGAAAAATTTATTTTTCATGCAGTACACCTGATCTCTACTATAAAGCAGATGTATTTACCAGAAGTTACCCTTCTATCAAAACAAGGTAAAGTATGCCTACATGAAGGCACTCTTTCTGGGAACCGTAAATTTGATTAACCACACAAACGAAAATATACACTAAATAGTCACATTTTCATTTTTAAAAAATGTTTAATGTTTGAAAGAGACAAATTCAAGGTAATAAAAATATTAAATAGAAGACAACATACCTCTCAAGTATCAGCGCTTGACTGGAAAAAAAAAAAAGATTTAAGCATGAAAACATCAATTCCTTTATTTTGGGCTCCCAAAGTCAAAAGTAAGATTAGAACTATATTCAATCTAACCACAGATTCTACTTTACTCAATGCAATAATTCACTAATAAAAACCCCACTTCAGTATTCTACAACCTTTCTGTGTTTTACATTTTTCCCCATAGCTATTGAAAGTTCCAATCTCCGGTTCAAACACGACCCACATGACAGACTTTCAATGAATGGTTTTGCTTCTCTGGAAGAGTACTATTGTGGCATTTGCTCATTTTAGCAGATAGCATCAGGGAAAAATAAGGAAAGATACCCATCAGACCCAAAGTTGAATTTTTGACAATACTAAAGAACAAAAACCCAGTTTTTTAAAATAAGCTGTTGGTCTTGAGATTCTGCCACCAGTTTGGGTTAGGAGGCCAACTGATGGTGTTCTGTTTCCTTGCCTCTACTGGGTTCCCTTCTGTCAGAGAAGGGTCCGTGTACTCTGCCAGACCAGGTGCCTTCGACTCCTCATTCCTCCCTAGTCTCCTCCCTGTGACTTGGACAGAAATACCCAGTTCATAATGATAAGCTGCCTGCTTCTGATGGGTAGAGGTGACATAATCAAAATCCTTCCTTCCAAAGCACTCTGGGGTTGAGATAAAATTTAATTTGTTTTCAGCATTTCTCAACAAGGATACTCCTTGGGATAACAGGAGATATGTGGTAAGTGAAAAGAACTGCTTAGACTACAACTTACGGAGTATCTCAGGATTTCAGCTCTGAGTATCGGGCAAGTTCTCAAGAAACTGATGTGTGTTGAGGAAGGATTCTAAAGCTGCCCATGACCCGAGAGACACTGAAGGCACCATCCCACTGCAGTTGTGTGGTTCTGCCTGGAGGCGCAGAGGGGAATGAAGAGAGAAGGCGCCTCCCCACCGAGCAGGGTAACAGGAGTCTCTGGGGAACAATAACACATCCTGAATGGTAGTTGAGGAACAAGACAAGCTCACAGACATGAACGTCAGCTCGAGAGGACATTAAATTGATTGCCTATCCGGGTTGTGTAATGGTGACCTACATCTAGATCTAGATTTGTTAGGAATGCCTCTGTCCATAGATTGTCACTATTAAAAACAAAAATAACCGCGAGCTTGATTAGGCAAAAACAAAGGGACTATAAACATAACTGTTTTTCTGGGTGTGCCCATGTCAGGAAATCATTTTCTCTATGGCTCAATGAGCAACATTTTATTCAACATTAGAGACAGTAGTTACTCAGTTCCTGTGTTGTTAGAAACAGAATGGAGATTTCTGTGCATACGTGGAATCTGGAGGAGATGAATATAATCCCACATACCAAGGGACAAGAAGCAGAAAAATCCAAAATTTCAACATACCCAAGCTACTTCTATAACTTCATATACTCCATAGAGCAGAGTAAAATCCTTGGGGCTCCACAAAGCTGGGGAACAGTGGGGTCTAGATCAAGTTACTGAATTATTTTACCTTGACAGAATCACTGCAAAGCAGTGGGAAACTTTTGAGGCTCATCAATGACAGGACACAATTAGAAGTGAAATACTTTCGGGAAATAGCCTTACTTCTTTATAAAATGTAGACCAAAAAGCTCAAATTTAGAAAGGTACTCTTGGATAATTGGGAGTGATTGAGGGTAGAAGCTTCAGGTCATTGTTAGATGAATGTTTTTCCATTAATCTTTAAAATCAGTAGGATTAATCAATTGTAGTATTGCTGTATTTTGGCTGAAAATACAGAAACAATGACCCAATGATTTGAACCTTTCTCATTTGAGTTTATTAACAAATATTCCCAGTGCTTTTCACCAATTCCTCATTATTTTAAATACCCTCTGACTTTGCAAAATATTTTAAGATATGCTGGATCTAGTGACATTATGAAAATCTTTTTTTCCTCGAAATCTATTCGATAAGTTTTCATCTGGTTAAAAGGTCAGCCTTTTGAGAAGTAGGAATTTGAGAGGGGACTTTGCGCATCTCAGCCACAGCGCTCACAGAAAGATAGCCCTCTCTGGGCCCAGCAGGTGCACGCCACATGAATGACTACTGGCATTCACAAGGGATTCGTTTTTCTTCTTCCTTTCGATTTGTATTATTTCATACATCCTGAATTTTAGGGTTTAGACTCTACAGATCGTCAGTTTCTAAGCGTGGCTCACTTAATCTGAGCTTTTGAACCTCAGATGAGCCTGGACTGAGGTTATGAGTTTGTAATGAAACCTGAAACTAAGCAAGCGTCCCCCGGTTTCAGTCTCACTGTTGAAGTCATCATAACTTCAGGGCATAGGAAGCATGGGTCTGGTACATCTCAGAAATGTGACTTTTTTTGAAAGACAAGTCTACTGCGTGCACGATAATGGACACCTTGGGCATAGCTCTTCTAGAGCTGCAAAGCCAGCAATCATCAAGAATCCCTTCCTGTGCCGCGCCCCAGGTCCTAATTGTCCTTCTGCACCTTTGTCCTTAGTTTAGCAAGTTCTTCTTCTAAGCTTTTAATATGTTCCTTCAAGGTGGCCTTGTCTTGCTGGGCCTTCTGACTGGCTTGGCTTCGCGCTTCCTCAATCTTCCTTTCATACCACTTTTCCATCTGGGTAGAAACAGCCTCAAAAAAATACTGGGTAATCTCCAGAGCTTGGGAGGCATCTCGAGTGTGAGGGGCGGTCTGCTCGCTGCCTGTTGCTGGTGGCGGCCCACAGGGGTTGCTGGGTGCTGGCTGCTGGGTCCGATGCCTTGTTTGCCCGCTTTTCCCAGACTTCCTGGTTTGGGTGCCTCTGTCTACACAGGGCCCAGCCTGCTGATCACATTTGGCTGCCTCTTTCAAGGGTAGCAAGGCTGTCTGGACCTTGACATTCCTCAGCCGGGAACCCGTACAGTCTGAGGAAGACAGCTCCTGCTGTATTCTGTGGGGAGCAGTGGGGTTGAAGGCCTTTTCCTTGGGCCTCACCACCTGAGGAGAACTGTCAGAAGCTGCTACTGGACCTGCAGTGACCACTGATTGATCCACACCTAGTTTGAGAAGGAAAACAAAACCACATTCACACAGTCCCGTGGCTCTGGGTCAGCATTTCAGAGTCCTGGTAATCCTGTAAACCATCAGCCTTCCCAACTGCCAACCACCACGTGCGATTTCTCCTCCGCCCTCCCCACTTCCACTTCCCCCTGATGATCATTTTGGCTTGTCAGGGCTTGCACGGATTAACGACACTGGTGGCATCTAAGCCAAAAAAGTTGCTGGCCTTTCCTTTAGCCAGTTACAAAGCTTAGAAAGCTCTGGGTAATTTTGTGATTGCTAAGGATGACACAGCTCACCAAGTATCTCCAAAACAGAACTGGGTATGTATAGATGGGAATGAATCTGCCCATTCCCTAATTTCTGGACCTTTTCCACACTATAGCCCCAGTTACTGGCTCTCTCTACCCAGAGCTCCAGCCAAGTTCCATAACTAGACCTAGCATGAAAAATTTGCCCAGGATTTCCCCAATGTTATGGGCACAAAGAGGGTAAAACCACGGTTCCAGAAATGGTCTATAATAACATAATACACATGACATATCAAAATTCCTCACAGAGGCCTAATTACGAGGTTCTAAACGTCCTCAAAATTAGCACTGAGTATAATCACTGTGGCTAATGAAAAGACACTTTGCTTGAAAGATCTCTATCTAGCACCTGGAGCTTCAGTATATGAACTGCTGTTTATGGAGGTTTTACACAGTTGGACAAAGGGCAAAGGAAGGACCCCTGCTGAGGAGACATGTCCATTCCTCACTCTTCGTCTTTGGGACCCACTCTGACACCATCAACATTGTACCTGAAACACTGCTATCACCAGCCAACAATTCTTGATTATTCCTTTATTCAGAAATGTCTGAATATTCAAATAGGAGTACTTTATTGCCGTATAGTAACTGAAAGTACAGCAGTAACCAAAATAAGTTCTTAGCCCTACAGAATTTAGAATCCAGTGTTTCCCACAGCCCTATCCGAGGGGCTGCCTTTGGGTACAGCAGAGAACAATCCCGGGAGGTTTTACCACCTTTGGATGGAGTGGCTCTCTCTGCACATGCATTACCTGTAGAGGACTCGCAAGTAGATGGTATGGATTTGGTCCTAGAGGCCCTAGAATCTCCAGAAAGCTTCAGCTCCAGATTCTGAATCTTTAACATGCACCAGGTTTTTAATTCATCCACCAATGACATCTACAAAAACAAAAACAAACAAACCCGCATAAATGATTAGGTGAATTGGACATGTGGTTTATGAATGAAAGCATCTAAAGTGGACTCTTCTATTATGAAAGTTCAGGATATCATCTTGACAAGCCTAAAAGCTGTGGATTACCTCCACTCCCACAGCCACACAGCCTTCTCTGCTGCCCTGTGTAGACCAGGATTCACCCAGCACCAAACCTGATAGTTTCTATAATCTTTGAGTGACTTAGGGCAAGAGACACCTTGAACACCCAAAGCTTCCCAAATCTTACAAATCAAGAATTTCTGGCTGCTCAGGAGCATGAACTCTCACACACTCAACAAGCACTCATTTTATGTGTGTTGTTCTTAGGTAGATGAACTCCCCAAGGGCAGGAAACAACTCTAGCTCAACAACAGAGCAATGCCTAACAGATGCATGATACAAAGAAGTGCTTCAAAGCAGAGACCACATCTTCCCCAGCATATTCTATGAACGTTTCAGTCTCCACCAATTACCAGAATATTCAGCAACAAATGGACTGAACTACATGTTCTTTTCTATTCATTATATAAATTAATAAAAGGACATTAAAAAGGACATGCTACATAATACCAATGCTTTTATGGGTTCTTGGCCTCTGGGTTTTCAGTGATGGGTCCGAGTCTCAACTCGGTGGAGAGTTGTAGTAAATACCCAGCAAAAGACACATCCTGGTTTTCACCTGTCGCCTCTCTCCCTCGTGCTTCTCGGCGTCCGAGTGCTGCTGCAGGCGGGTCACGCACTCTGTTCTCTCCGCTGAGAGCCGCTCGACCATCAGCTTGTCCAGAACGCGCATCTGGGGTTCAGTGGGCAGAGAGCATAGGACTGACATGATCTAAGGATGGGGTACGGTCTCCCGCCTCCTGAGACGGGGCTCTGGGGGACCAAGCCGGGGCCAGAGACAACAGAAGCAAACCTCAACTTCTCTTTTATCCAAGTTTCATCTAGTTTTCATCGAACTCTAGGTCTTCACAATCCCTGAGCATGTTTCTGTGTAGTCAAGGCTTTTTTTCCTTATTTGTTAAAGTCCTAAGCGGTTGAAGAGACTGAACACACAGTAAATCTACAACATAAGCCAACAGACCTTGTACAGAGAATTTTTACAGGTTTCAGAACATTTCCAAGACTATTATTGAAAGGAAAAACTACTTCTAGAAGTATGCAGCTGTACCTGATCTTAAGTATCCTTTCAATTAATTTTTAACACCCCACCCTTAAATGTTAGTGGCTGCCTGTGAGGTAGCGAAAGCAGCTGAATGCTCAGCGCTTTTAGCCAGTGTTCTTTTTTTTTTTTTTTTAAAGATTTTATTTATTTATTTGAGAGAGAGAATGAGAGCCAGAGAGCACGAGAGGGAAGAGGGTCAGAGGGAGAAGCAGACTCCCTGCTGAGCAGGGAGCCCGATGTGGGACTTGATCCCGGGACTCCAGGATCATGACCTGAGCCGAAGGCAGCTGCTTAACCAACTGAGCCACCCAGGCGCCCTATCCAGGGTTCTTAATGAGCCAACCCCCTTAGTGCTTCGCTGAAAGTAATCAAAGCAAGTGTGAAGGAGGGTGGAGAATTAAAGCGTGTGTGTCAGAGAACAAATGATTGTCCCCTTTCAGTCATGCCCTCCTAGGTTCCCCCCAACATCGTGACATTTCCCATAGGGCCCTAACACCCAGGAAAGCCAAACTTCCACTGCTTTGACAAGGTCCAAACAGGGGAAAGGAACTTTGTTAGCAGGGGCCAGCCCACAAGGGCTCTTTGCTGAGCTCTCCTGTCAGTGACACATATGATGCTCAGAAAACTAAAAGAGCAGTAGGTTCTGGAGATGTGGTGAGCACCTTCTGTTTCGTTCCTTCAGCCCTCATGTTTTCCTGTGAGCCGCTCTCCTGTTTTCTAGGATTGGCCTCCTCCCCTACCTCCTTATCCTCTGTCAAGAGCAACCATGTTGATAGAGCTTTGTTCCAGGGCATGGCTGACTGAGTCACACAGGAGTGCCTGACGCGTGCCACACCAGAGTCCTTTACCTGTGATTAGGAATTAGGACAAAGATTCCACAACCCCATCTGTCACCCTCCTTGAAATGAAGCGAGGTCCTTGAGAAGATCCAGCATTTATCTAATACATTTCCTCTCTGGGCTTAGGCTAGCCGAAGCTGTCTTATTTATAAGACAGCCTTAACTAATATATTATGGCATTAGGAAAAGATTTCTTGAAGGCGCTTTCCATGAAGTACAAATAGCAAATAAACCTAAAATGTTCTACCTCACCAACAAACAAGGAAACAGGAATTAATATTCTTAATTCGGCAAAAACTTTAAAAATGGTAATATTAACGACAGCAAAAGTTTGAGACAGAGACTCAATTTATATCCTACCCTGCCTGTTGGATATAAATTCACACAACCTTTCTGTTAAGTAGATTACTAATATTTGTCAAGAGCCTTAAACATATTCTTAACTCTGGACCCAGTTATCCTAAATCTGAGCAAATAACTTGAAAAGCAAACATTTACGTACATAAATGTCCATCATAGCGTTATTTATAAGAGTGAAAAACTATAAGCAACTTTAAAGTCTAATAAAAAGGAATAGTTAAATAAACTGTTGTATTAATATGCTGGAATATTATGAAGCAAAGCACATGGGAAAGTGCTCAGGATATCAAATTAGGTGAAAAAAGCTGGAAGCAAAAATATAACTTAAGGTAACCTAACTTAAGGTTTCATCTAGTATTCATCGAACTCTAGGTTTTCACAATCCCTGAGCATATTTCTGTGTAGTCAAGGTTTTTTCTCCTTTGTTAAATGTCCTAAGGGGTTGAAGAGACTGAACACACAGTAAATCTACAACTTGAGCCAATGCAGACCTAGTATTAAGTTAACCTAAGATGTAACTTAGGGAGGTGGGTGGCGGTTTGGGTGAAATAGGTGATGGGGATTTAGGAACGAACTCCTTGGGATGACCACCGGATGATGTGTGAAATTGTTGAACCACTATATAGTACACCTGAAATATAACACTGTTAACTAGACTGGAAGTAAAAATAAATAAATACACCATGTACTAAACAAAAACAAATGTTATGTTTAGCTCCATATACAGAAGAGTACATTGCCTTAAATAGCACAACAAAACTCAGCATGTCAAAGACATTACTAAATTTAAACATAAGTTACAAAATGACAAGGGCTCTTCGGGTCCAAGATGGTGAGGTAGTAAGACCCTTAATCTCCTCCACACCACATCTAATCTACACCTATTTATAGAGCAATTCTCCTAAAGACCTGGGGGATGACTGAGCAGTTTCTGTACCACAGAAAATAAACCATATAGAGAACAGTAAGGGAGAGACATGGTAGCAAAAGGACCCCCCCACCCACCAACACTGAACTGTAGTGCAGATAGTACTGAGCAAACGGAAGATTTGTCTGCCCTGGTGCACAGAAGAAAAGCCAGGATGTAAAAGGGCAACTAGAATACAAAGGAACCAGAACCCTGCCAGATGTTGGGGGAGCCGTCAGAAAGCTCTCGAGTCAGAAGGGCCGGCAAGCACCAGAGTCTATGTTCTTCCATCACCTTGATAACACAGATGGGAGCAGGGCCTGGGCACTCCAGGCATCCTGCCACCTCAGTGAGCCCTGCCCTAACCCACACCAGCCCGAGCTGTCCCACCAAGGCAGCCCCAGCATGGTACACACGTGGACACCCTTGGTCAGTGCTCACGACCGCTCCAGTCATTTTGCGAAGGTGACACAGGCGCGAAGCACCTTGAACACTCCAGGCCCACATTGCTCCAACTCCAAATGACTTGCCAGGGCACACTCAACATGGTGCTGAGACCTCCCCACCCAACTCCCCTTTGGCTTCAGATGACGTGCCAGGGTGCATCCCGTGAAGAGCCCCTGCAACACATTACCTTGCACCCACTTCAGCTTCTGCTCGTCTGCCAGGGCACTCTCTGCATAGAGAGCTCCAGGACATCCCTATACCCACACTTCAGCTTCAGCTGACCTGCCATGAGGCCTTTGGCACAGAGAGCCCCAGGACTGCCCCAGTCTGCACCCACTTCAGTTCAGGCCATCCCACTAAGCCCCAATGCAGAGAACCTGGGGACCGCCCCGCCCCCGCCACAGTTCTGCCAGCCAGCCAAAGTCACCAAGCATACACACTCTACACAGGGGATTACCATACATAAGACCATTCCTTCAAGTTTAGGATAAGTAGCTATTCTGCCTAATTCTGCCCAAGAAACAAAAGCAGAAAGTCAAGCAAATGAGGAGACAGAGGAATATGCTTCAAAAAAACGAACAAAAGAAGAACTAAATGAAACGGAGGGAGCCAATCTGCCTGATAAGAGTTCAAAGTAATGGTCTTAAAGATGCTCACCAGCTGCACAGAAGAGAATGAATTCAGAACTTCAACAAAGAAACAGAAAATATAAAAAGAACCAATCAGAGATGAAGAATATAGTAACTAAAGTGAAAAACACAATATAAGGAACCAAAAGCATAGAGGATGAGGAAGAATGGATCTGGAATCTGGAAGATGAGGTAAAGGAAAGCACCCAACTGAAGAAGAAAAAAATAACTTTAAAAAATAATGATATGATGTAATGTATGGTGATTAACATAACAAAAAAATTTAAAGAAAAAAAATAATGATAGGTGAAGGGATCTCTTTGACAACCACAAACATTTGCATTATAGGCATCCCAGAAGGAAGGGAAAGAGAGAAGGGAACAGAAAACTTACGTGAAGAGATAGCTGAAAACTTCCTGAGCTGGGGAAGGAAAACAGACACCCAGGTTCAGGAAGCACAGAGAGTTCTAAACAAAATGAACCCAAAGGAGATCCACACCGTAACACATAATTAAAATGTCAAAGAGTAAAGATAAAGAGAATTTCAAAAGCAACAAAAGTAAATAATAACATTCAAGGAAACCCCAATAAGGCTATTAGCTGATTTTTTAGAAACTTTCCAGGCCAGAGGAAGTGACATGATATATTCAAAGTACTGAAAAAAAAAAAAAAAAAAAAAAAACCCTACAACCAAGAATATTCTGCCCAGCAAGTTTATTATTCAGAATTAAATGAGAGATAAAGACTTTCCTAAACAAAAGCTGAAAGAATTCATCACCACTAAAACAGCCTTACAAGAAAAAAATTTTTTTAAGATTCCATTTATTTATTTGAGAGAGAGAGAGAAAGCACAAGCCAGGGGAGGGGCAGAGGGAGAGGGAGAAGCAGACTCCCTGCCGAGCAGGAAGCCCAACACGGGGCTCGATCCCAGGACACCAGGATCATGACCTGAGCTGAAGACAGATGCTTAACCGACTGAGCCACTCTCAGGCACCCCAACTTTACAAGAAATTTTAAAGAGATTTTTTTACATAGTAAAAAGTCCATAATTAGGAAATTATGAAAAAAAGAGTTCATGAGTAAAAGCAACGTAAAGGTAGTAAAGCAATCACTTATAAAACTAGTATGAAGGTTAAGAGACAAAGAGGTGAAATTGTATCTTTAAAGTTAGTTAAGGAAACTCAAAAGAAAGATAGAAAATGACAACATGCAAAAAACACAGGGGGGTCAGTAAAAATGAAGTTCTTTTTGAATGTATTCAAACTTGGGTTTTTTTGTTTTTTTTTTTGAGAGAGAGAGAGAGCATGCATGTGCACATGAGTGGAGGATAGGGGCAGGGAGGGAGGGGGCAGAGGGAGAGCAAGAATCTCAAGCAGGCTCCATGCCTGGCACAGAGCCCAGTGTGGGGCTCGATTTCATGACCTGACGTCATGACCTGGGCCAAAATCAAGAGAGTTGGTCACTTAACCGCCGGAGCCACCCAGGCTCCCCAAGTGACCATCAATTTAACATAGACTCTCTACAATTAGGAGGTTATATACGAATCTCATGGTAAACACAAACCCCAAACCTAGGATACACACACAAAAGAAAGTGAAGCAGAACACTAAAGAAAGTCATCAATCATAAGAAAACAGAGCAAGAGAGGAACAGAGAATTACAAAACAAGCAAACAATAAAATGGCAATAGGTACATACCTATCAATAATTAAATGCAAATGGTCTAAATGATCCAATCAAGAGACAGAGGGTGATTGAATGGATAAAAAAATAAATAAGGGGCGCCTGGGTGGCTCAGTCATTAAGCGTCTGCCTTCGGCTCAGGTCATGATCCCGGGGTCCTGGGATCGAGTCCCACATCGGGCTCCCTGCTCAGTGGAGAACCTACTTCTCCCTCTCCCACTCCCCCTGCTTGTGTTCCCTCTCTCGCTATGTCTCTGTCAAATAAAATCAAATATTAAAAAAAAAAAATAAGACCCATCTATTTGCTGCCTACAAGATATTCACTTCAGACTTAAAGGCACACACAGACTAAAAGTGAAGGGATAGAAGAGATTCCATGCAAACAGAAGGGAAGTGGGGTGGAGGTAGCCAAAGTAGCAATACTTTTAAGAAACAGAGACTTCAAAACAAAGACTGAACAAGAGACAAAGAAGAGCATTACATAATGATAAAGGGATCAATCCAACAAGAGGATTATAACAATTGTAAATACATATGCACCTAACTTCAAAGAACCTAAATACATAAAGCAAATATTAGGAGACAAAGGGAGAAATTGATAGTAATACAAAAATACTAGGAGACTTTAACATCCCACTTACATCAGTGGATAGATCATTCAGATAGAAAATGAGGAAATTGCCTTTTTTTTTTTAATTTAAAGATTCTATTTATTTACCTGAGAGAGAAAAAAACGCACAAGAGCAGGGGGAGCAGCAGGCAAATTCTTCCCAAACTATTCAAAAAGTAAATAAATAAATAAACATACAGGGCACCTGGGTGGCTCAGATGATTAAGCCTCTGCCTTTAGCTCAGGTCATGATCCCCAGGGTTCTGGGATCAAGTCCCACATCGGTCTTGCTGCTCAGCAGAGAGCCTGCTTCTCCCTCTCCCTCTGCACCTCCCCCAGCTCATGCTCTTATCTCTCTGTCTCGAATGAATAAATAAAACAAACTTAAAAAAAATAAACATACAGACATCAATGGAACAGAATAGATAAACCCAGAAACGGACCCTCAACTCTATGGTCAACTCATCTTTAACAAAGCAGAAAAGAATATCCAATGGGAAAAAGTCTCTTCAACAAATGGTGGGAAAATTGGACAGCCACATGCAGAAGAATGAAACTGGACCATTTCCTTATACCATACACAAAAATAGACTCAAAATGGATGAAAGACCTAAATGTGAGACGGGAATCCATCAAAATCCTAGAGAAGAACACAGGCAGCAACCTCTGCTGCAGCAGCTTCTTGCTAGACATGTTTCCAAAGGCAAGGGAAACAAATGCAAAAATGAACTATTGGGACTTCATCAAGATAAAAATCTTCTGCACAGCAAAGGAAACAGTCGACAAAACCAAAAGACAACCGACAGAATGGGAGAAGATATTTGTAAATGACATATCAGATAAAGGGCTGGTATCCAAAATCTATAAAGAACTTATCAAACTCAACACCCAAAGAATAATGAAATCACGAAATGTGCAGAAGACACGAACAGACATTTCTCCAAAGAAGACATCCAAATGGGCAACAGACACATGAAAAAATGCTCAACATCACTCGGCATCAGGGAAATACAAATCAAAACCACAATGAGATACAACCTCACACCAGTCAGAATGGCTAAAATTAACAAGTCAGGAAATGACAGATGTTGGCATGGATGTGGAGAAAGGGGAACCCTCTTACACTGTTGGTGGGAATGCAAGCTGGTGCAGCCCCTCTGGAAAACAGTATGGAGGTTCCTCAAAAGTTAAAAATAGAGCTACCCTACAACCCAGCAATTGCACTACTAGGTCTTCACCCCAAAGATACAAATGTAGTAATCTGAAGGGGCACCTGCACTCCAGTGTTTATAGCAGCAATGTCCACAATAGCCAAACTATGGAAAGAGCCAAGATGTCCATCGACAGATGAACGGATAAAGAAGATGTGGTGTGTGTGTGTGTGTGTGTGTGTGTGTGTGTGTGTGTGTGTACACATATGCACACAATGAAATTACTCAACCAGGACGCCTGGGTGGCTCAGATGGTTGGGTGTCTGCCTTCGGCTCAGGTCGTGATCCCAGGGTCCTGGGATCGAGTCCCCGCATCAGGCTCCCTGCTCCTTGGGAGCCTGCTTCTCCCTCTGCCTCTCTCTCTCTCTCTCTCTCTCTCATGAATACATAAATAAAAAGTTTAAAAAAAAAAAAGAAATTACTCAACCATCAGAAAAAGAAATCTTGCCATTTGCAACAACGTGGATGGAACTAGAGGGTACTATGCTAAGCAAAGTAAGTCCATCAGAGAAAGACAATTATCATATAATCTCACTTATATGTGGAATTTAAGAGAGAAAATAAAGGATTGGGGGGAAGGGAGGGAAGAATAAAACAAGACGAAATCAGAGAGGGAGACAAACCATAAGAGACTTAATCATAGGAAAAAACTGAGGGTTATTGGGTTGGGGGGAGGGGGTGCGGGGATGGGGTAACTGGGTGATGGGCATTGGGGAGGGCACATGATGTCATGAGCACTGGGTGTTATATAAGACTGATGAATCACCGACCTCTTCCTCTGAAACCAATAAGACATTATATGTTAACTGAATTTAAATTAAAAAAAAAAAAAAGATTTTTGGGGGGCTTGAAAGAAATCACAAAGGCAGGCCTCTTGCCTGACAGCCCGCCTGACATGCTCAGGGCAGAGGCTGCAGAATAGAAGGATGTGCTGAGGGCTCTTTCTGATTTCATTTCCTTTCAGAACACCTGGACATGAAGAATTCCAGGCAACTCACTGACCTGGTGCTGGGTCTTGTTCTCCATATGTCCCAGCTTTGTGTTCATTTTATCCTGAACTGACCCCAGCTCTGCTTTGATCTCCTCCACAGCTGCCTCCAACTGGTTCTCCAGCTTGTTGATTAGGGGTTCACATCGACAACCATTTATCGGTGCCTGACAGGGAAACAATAAAGGAATCAATCCATTCATTCGTTCCTTCCCCAAATTGGTTTTGGGTACCCATCCAGTGCCGGTCAGTATGCCAGGGGGATACAGATGACAGAGGAGGCACAGTCATGCCTGGCATGACTTTGGGATGTCCAGAGGGCCAAGCTTGGGGAGCAGGAGGCACTGAGAAGATTCAGAGAGCCCCAACCCTTGTTTCTTTTATCCACTCTGGGGCCTCAAGACGATGCAGTCACCTAAGGATGGTGCAGAAAGCTCTGTAACTACCCTTGTATGCCTGGGCCTAAGCTAGGGGGTGCCATCTGCAGTTCAGGTCAGGAAGGCCACCTGGTTTATCTTCCAAGCTCATACCTTAAGTCAACACTGAAAGTGGATATTCATCCCCAGGAATAGTAATAAAGGCACAGCCTTGCTTAAGGCCTACAGTCCTAGGTCCAGACAGAGCTCGCCAGGTACCTGCATCACTTTCCCGTCCTTGCCCCGGTACAGCGTGTAGAGCTGGTACGCTCTGAACTCATGGGGAGGGGGCGGGGGGGAGCATCGGTGCCTGGGCCTCTTTTTAGGATGATTATGTGCATGCGCGTCCTTCTGGCGTCCAGGCTGTTGGTCTGCTGGTGGGGTGGGGTCAGAAAATGCTGACACCTGTGGGAGAGGAAGGGACAATTGCCCTGAGCACCGTGACATCCGCAGGACTGACACCCAGCCTGCCGCTCCCATCTCATTCATGGCTCCCATCTCATTCATGGCTCCCATCTTACTCTCGCCTTGCTTGGTCTCATGACATTCCACTCTAAGCAGCCCACAGCAAAAGAAATCTATCAGCATGCTAACCGTGTGTTTGAAGTTAGCCAGATTTAAGTTCTGTGCTCTGGCTCCCAACCAGCAAGCCAAGCAGAGTGGCGTTCTAGCTACTGGGCATGACGCTATCCCAGGGCCCTCTGCCAAGCTGTCTCCCAGCCCTCCCCTGGCTGCTTTTACGGGCCTCCTGACCTTGGGCCTTGACTTTCTCTGCCTGTTGTCCTTTGCTCTGGGCTCTGGGGAGGCAGACAGGAAATCTTCTCTGGCCTCTTCTTTTCTGGGTACAGCCTGTTCACTGCTGGGGGTGTCTCCGGCTGAGACACTTCCCTACAGAGGAAAGAAAAAAAGCCCAGAAACCAGTTCTAATTGCCCCCCTCTGCCTTTTTCTGTAACGGTGTAAAATGCTGTTTGCAAGACTGCATCCACGAAAGGACCCGTGGGACTCAGCCAACGACAAACAGGGAACACTGCCCGGTGGTTGCCACTGCACATCTTCCGTTTTCCCAGTTGCTTGAATATTTGGCTTTGACTCTATTAGGTGCCAAACTAAATATAGTCTTGGGTCTAATTCTATACTCTAGAGCTTCGGGAACCTACCACAAACACCTCAGCGTTAGAGATTTTTCTTTTTTTTTTTTTTTGCATTTCAATAACTGCAACCACAATAAAAATACCATTCATTCTTTGAACCTGGACCTCACAATTCATAATGGAGTATGGGAAATCTCTGAAATGAAAAAACATCACATTTCCACTCCTTATAAGAACTTTTACAAATTAATATATACAACACACCCACAGGAACTTAATCAGAGTTACAATGCCTTAACCCTGGAAACGGGTAAGATTTTGAAAAAGAATGAGTACATGGTATAAAATTTTATGGGCCAAAAGTTGTCTTTATACTCTAGCCTTTTTCGTCCTGGGAGAGCTGAAAGGCAGGGTGTGTTCCAAGGCTACGGTGTCTATTCGTGCAGGCTGTCCCCATACAAGGGCACCTAGCAGAGGGAGCTGAAATCCAGCTCGGGCTCGCTTTACCGTATGTGCCCGAGCAGGGCTGGGCTGCCCAGGGGGCATCTTCTTCTCAGTTCTCACAGAGGAATCACATGGGCTAGCACAGCCTCAGTCCATTCCCTAAGCGGAAAGGAAGGAAGCAACCTAGGCCAGTGGTGGTCAAACTTTAGTCCACATCAGGATCACCCACGGGGCTCATTCAAACACAGCTTGCTGGGCCCCTCCTGGAGTTTCTGATCCAGTGGGTCTGGGGTGAAGCCCCAGACTCTACATATTTAATAAGGTCCCAGGTGACACAGTGGATGCCACACTTTGCAAACCACTGCCCCATACAATTAAGGGCACAGTGTCCGAGGCAGAGCTGTCCGCATGGTGGTGACAAGGCCATAGATACAGGGGGCTGGGAAAGACGGGCAAACAGGCACACGATCTGAACCCCTGGAGGAGTGGAGGACAGGGAGCCGAAGAGAAAGCACGGACGACAGTTTGAAGAAGCAGTGGGAAGGAGAGACAGGAGGAGGGCATGGCCGCTGCCCCACAAGCCCAGAAGCAGCGGCGCGAGTTTCCCACCCTCTGGAATGGGGTGAAGTTAGGGAGGCGCAGGAGGGCTACCCCCCACCTTGCTTTGTGCCACCTCATCTCTTGGCACAGATTGAGCTCTCCTCTCTTCCTTGAGCCTCTCTCTCTTTTTCCTCAGGCTTCGCCCACGACTGAAGCGTAAGACCTGAAGGAGGCAAGAGGCATTGTTAAAAACCACCGGCGTGCGCAGCATCAGCGTGATGGACTTGGCCTTGGACCTGGTGCTCTGATCTAATGAAGCTTCCAGCCTAGTGGGAGAGACCATGCGTTCACGTCAACAAGCACCTCCAGACTGTCTGCTAGGCTTCCTAGGTCCTGCGCCGGGCTCTCTAGGGACCCAGAGAGGAGGAACACATTACCCCTGATCTCCAGGAGCTTACAGTCTAGGACAAGAACAGGCATTTATGTGCCGGGCCACGGCCACCATATAGGTGTGTGTAGGCTGTGCATGGCTGAGCTCCAGGGAACACTACTCACAGAGACTAGGAAAGGAATGGCATCCCCTGGAGTAGTCGAACGTGGCAGCCCCGGGCCAGGCACAGGCTCACTATCTTGGTACACGGGAACTGAACTAGCCCATCAGATTTTCTCTTGACCAAACCGTATTCAAGGATATTTGCAGTTTGATTCAAACATTGAAGTGTGTCTGTGAACCATGGTCCCAACCATGGGACAGGAATCTCCTCCCCAGAGGAAGCATTTGGTCTGCCCCTTTGAGTGCAGGAAGGTAGAACGGACACACGCAAGTAGACATGGGGTCCAAAAGTTATTTGCCCTCTCTGTATTCTCCAATGTAAATCTGGGGAGTTAATGGAATTAACGAAGACAAAGCAGGCGGCTGGTACATCCTGGACCATCAATCACCGTCAGGTGCCTTCCTCCTGCCTCGGTCCCTAGAGTACCTTGACTGGCAGAGGAAGTTTAATAAGGGTACAAATCTTTGAGCTGTCAGAAACCTTCAATCTCTGGCCCAGCTCCACACCCTTCCCCCAGGCCCCTTCCTTCCCAGTTCCAGGGGCACCCCCTTTAACCAAGGAGGTCCAGCAAGTAAAAACACCTTTTTCAAGGTCTCACAATTTCTCTGCAATAAAACATTTTGTCTTCATAGGTAGATAGTTCACCATAGTCTTCAGCTCAATGTTCAACTTTGTGTTCATTAAATTCAAGTGACACGATCATGGGACAAAACCTTTATGGGCAGCAGGTACCACCCTAAATGGAGAATTCCTGACAATACCTCCCTGTGGCTGAACCAGATTTTTAAACTGTATTCTCATCCCCTAAGCCAACAGCTCTGAAAGTGTCCTGGAACCGAGGCTAAAATTACCTTCATAATATTACAACAACGTCGGCCTTTTTCTCTCCTGCACTGAGTATACAGCGGTGTTTACCAGAAGCTGCACACGTACTCCAATGGATCACATGCATCTTCCTTTTAGGAAAACAGTATGGAGATTTGCAGAAATGAAAAATAATGCTACTCTTCTCACACAACTTGTTTTGATAAAGTTACTTTTCACAAAAACAAGTTCATTTTGTGGTAACAGAGTTAAAAATGTTTATTCATTTAAAAACATTTCTCGAGTTGAATTTCAAATATGGTAACGATTAACAGATATAAACACAGCTCTTTATGGGCCTCTAGAACATTAAGTGCCCCTAGACCAAAAGATCTGAAAGCCACTGTCCTAAGCCCTTTCGTAAGCTAAATTCAGACTCACTAGGAAGTCAAGTCTGATGAGGAGTGACTAGTGCCCTTCACTCATTCAGCTTATGGACTCCTGGAACAGAATACAGCCCCAATATCAACCCCAAATTCACTTTCAGAAGCATTTGTGAACCGCATCAATCTAAAATGAGAAGGGATACTCAGAGGTCACCCAAATCATCAGAATAATTCCCTCCATAGACCATGTTATTATTAGCCAGTGAAAATAACTTTGCATGGCTTACAGCCTTTCTCAGCGAACCATGTCATCTACTAAATGGAAGGTCATCAGTCTCTTCCAGTTCACGGAAATCAGGGTATATGGATCTTTAGAAAGTAACCTCTTAGTACTGCTGTGAGCCAGTGAAATCCATGGTCAGCTAACATCCCAAGGCAAGGAATTTCCTGTTTCACACACAGGAAGGCTAGTTCTAGAACCTCAGAACAGAAGAACAGCATGTATACAATTTCATGCACATTCCAAAGTTCCTTCTTCATGTTGAGAATAGAGTTTAGCATATATAGTTACATAAAATATTCCATAAAATGTCACCTTATTTATTTGCCATTCAAATGGGTGTGGATAAACTGAAGTCTATTTTTTTTTTTTTCAGTGGAAACACTAAAGGAGAATCACACAGGAAAATGGTCCACAGTAAAGCTTTTTCTCTATGAACTCAGATCCTTGAGTTCTAGAAAACAAAAGGCAGGTGGGTTAAAGGCCTATAATTCTGTGTGCCTTGGGGATACTCCATCCCACAAAATTCGATGATCTTCATACGGCTAAGGACAGAGCTGGCTCTCCAAACTGCCAAACACTGAAATGCCATAGAACAGAGATGGATTCTGACCTTTATTATAGCATCCTGTACTTTTTGATCTGTAAAAGACCAGCATTTTTCCATCAGGATTCATGGATGTGATTCCGTTGATGATTTGTTTGCAAATAGTCGGAAAGAGGTGGAAACTTTTTCCAAAGGACCACCTGACTTGTGTCTGTCAGGGGTTCCACAGACTTCCAGACACCAATGAGGACCAACTCCACGGGCAACAGGGTGATCAGTTTTCAGAAGGCAAAAATCTTCACCACTTCCAGAGTCTACTAGTTATATCAGGTAGGTTTTGAAAACATAAATGAAATAAAGACCATGCAGACCCCTGGGCTGATGGGGCTCAGGCACAGCAGGCTGGTATCTGGAATCTTCCTCTGACTCTCTGAGACTTTACCTTCTCACAGTTATCAGGCCTAATAAGTTCGAAAACTAATCTGTTTTTGCTGTAATGTGACAGAGTACCTCCAATCGGGAAGCAAACTATTTCCTTAATATTGGACATTTAGGTTAACAAAATATTGGACAGCAACAAAAAAGCAAACTGGCTTCCATTATGATGAATAATTATGTGAACTGCAGAACATTTTCCTACTACAGTTAGGATAAAGGGCAGGATACAAAAGGGTATGTATATTGTAGGCACAATTATGAAAATTATGTGTCTGAAAGGTAACATGAACAAAAAGTTGTTTCAGGGTGCTGAAATGATGAATATAGCTTATACATTATTAAATGCCAATTCCAATCTCAACTCAAATGATATCAATTTTTTAAGTTAAATGATGCTCCAAATACCATTATATTCAATTAAAAAGGAAAAAACACTATTATGCTTGACTGCCTCTAATGGACATTTTACTGCCTTGTTTGCTGGACTGGATCCCTTCCTCTCACCTTTCTCCAGGAAATGCCCCTTCCAACCACACAGTCAAGTGGATACAGCTACTATCTCCCTAAAGTGCCTGTCCCACTTGTTCAGGGCATTTGCCCCAAGCTAGTCAATCATGATCTTCTTCTGTATCATTTAAACCAGAACTTCTTCCCTGAGTACTTGGGGAGTTATAATCCACAAAGCTGGTAATGACCATGATCCAGCCACAGAGAAGGAAGGATGTCCATGTATGAAAACGAGCCCGCTGAACCTTATGTCTCCGGCTCTGGTTATCTTGGAGGCACACATGGATTCCTGCGTTTTCCACTGCCTGGCTGCAAACCCATCAATTTCCTATTTAAGTTATTTTGAGTTGGCTTTAACAGATGGCCACCGGAGAATGCCAACAACTTTGCAGCCCCACGTAATCAATATAATGGAAAATGCAATAAATCCTACCTGGGGAGCTTTAGTGAGGAGAAGAGCAACTTCTGGATTATTGTGGTAGCGGGCAGTCTCCAGTGGAGTCTGGCCTGCCTAAGGAAAGGCAAAGGGCAGGACAAGTGAGTAAAAGACACCAACCCTGCACACATCTAGCCCAACTGGGACAGCAACTCTGCACTCAAGTCACACCGGCATGTAAGCAAACTCAACAAGATATAATCACACAGAAGACCCGGCCTTGCTCTTGAGCCTCCCCTTTAGTGCAGGAGCCAAGTCACACCTGAGAGCACAATGATTAACAACATACAGCAAGAGTGGGTCAGTGTTGACCCTCTAGGAAGCAAAGCTCTGGGATACCTACCCACCAAGGAATGCTTCCTAGAAAAGAGAGGAGGGAATGTAAAAGACAAGGTCACGGTGGAAGATTTCAGTTGAAGAAACATGAAGGATCATAAAATCCAGCCAAGCAATTAATTTTCCCTGGAGGACACTTGGAAGATCAGGCCCCAGCCAGTCTCAGGACAATTAGGAAACTTTGGCCATATCGGAGGCTCTGGGGAGATTAAGGCAGAAAGTAGGAGTTGCTAACAGTGGGATTCAAAAGAAGGGAACAGCCATCATGGGACAGGTACCATGCACCACACAATACAGGTGGGAGGGCTGCGCGGAGGAGGAGGTGGGGGAGGAAGGTGGGGACGAGATTCAGGTGGAGGCGGCAGGT